TTTTTTTGAGAGACAGGGTCTCACTATGTTGCTGAGGATAGTCTTGAATTCCTGGCCTCAAGCAATCTTCCTACCTTGGCCTCCTGAGTAGCTGGGATTATAGGCATGAGCCACCATGGCCAGCTTATCTGAGTACTTCTATGGGATATTTTCCTAGACGTGGAATTACTAGACCAGAATATTTAAAACTTTTATCTCCTTAGAGGCTACACCAATTTATGCTGCCATTGCCAACATATGAGTGTCTGTTTCTGCAGAAACTCCAACACAATATTTATCAACTTTCTTACATGTCTGACACAGAAAAATGGTATCTTTGTGCCTTAAATATAAATTTTTTTCATCTATAGGATCACAAACATTTTAAAAATCTGTCTCTACCAAAGTTCTGTATCATTGTTTGAGAGTTTCTTACTTAAATCAATTTTCCATGTTTTATGCAATTAACATGCAATCAATATTACAGTTCTGCCTTACAATTCATTAAAGCATTTCCTATGGTCAATTCTTAAGTGATTTTTATTGTACACAGATAAAGATACATAGATAATCTTAGTATACATAGATTATACAAGATCCTCTGGGTGAAGTAGTTGTATCTAAATGTGTCTGAGCTTTGCAACCATCGAATTATTTAAGATAACACCTCAGAAATGATATTACCAGACCAAATATGATGACTCACTTTTGGGCTCCATCCATATATTGCCATTCATATTGACTTCAAAGGTTTGTTTCCTATGACAGTATCAATGTGACAACCTCCTGCCACTGTGCCCTTTGCTTCTGCCTCTTTCCCTCTGATCACATCTCTGCTTCCTTTTGCCTTGACCTAGATCAACTGTCCTGGTAATATCTAAAGACTGATCTACTCTTCATACTCTTGCCCCTTAGAAATCTCATTCAAGCCAGATCTTCAGCTCTTGCAAGTTGCCTCCTAAATCAGCATCACCAAGCTCAGTGTCTTCTTCTGAGTACCAGATCAGAGTATCTAACATACAGACATAGTCAATAATTTGATTTAATTAAAAGAACTGAAAAGGGCAAGTATACCATGGATAAAAAAGATTGCCCATGGACACATGAGACTAAGTATAGGTTGGGCATCCCAAATCTGAGTAAGAAATGCTCCAATATCTTTAACTTTTTGAGCTGACATGACACTCAGAGTAAACGCTCACTGGAGCATTTCAAATTTCATCATTTGTGGATTAGGGGTGTCCAACTGGCATAATGCCAATATTCCAAAATCTGAAAAAATCCTGGTTCTAAGCATTTGGTATATTCAATCCGTATGTCTAAAATCATTATCTCTTTGCTGTCTCTCATCATGCTGTATCTTTATTGCAGATTAATCTTGTTTCTCAACTCTTTCTCACTCCCCATATCCAGGTAAGTCCCTTTCAGTCTATAGTGACATTCTTCCCAGCAGTTCTTTCCTGGCCATTCCCAGTGTAAAGTATTCCAGGTGGCCATTAGCACACATAACTACTGACAGTCTCACTGGCCTTCTTGGACCAGCAATACCCTTCAGGGTTTTAATCCACCTATTCCACTCCTGTGTAAATGGCCCTCTGATCATGTCACCTGCCTTCTGAACACAACATTTCATTGTAATTCAAGATGCTACACAAGCTGCTAACTGTATTTTCCATTATCCTCTAAACTCAAGCTCAACAACATGTTTATATCTAGGAGTTTTTGCTAGGGTTGTTCTTTCAGCCTTCAAAGCTCTGTGACCAGCATCTTCAGGCCCAACTGCAGTCCACTGTTTGCACCAAATAAAAATGATACCTTCATCATGAAAACATTTTTCTGTGTAAAATTCATGTCTCTACCATCTCAGCTTCTACAGCATTTTCACCTGTTTTTCACTTGGGGCCTATAATGATGTTGTCTTAGAATTTTTGTTTGCATCAAAATTTTTTGTGTGCAGCATTAAGCACAGCACACAGAACTGCCAAGATGTGTCCAGAGGATGGAAGAGCAATGCCTTTCACTGACCTGGCCGCAGGTAGAGATCGGAGGAAGCCGCAGCAATCCGCTCCCGCTCCTTCTCCCGCTCCCGTTCCCGTTCCCTCTCAGCACTTGCAGCAGCTGCAAGATGTGTTGGGTGTCCTGTAAAACACACACCTGCAGCTTAAAGATAAAAATGTCAACTCACTGAATACATCAAACAATTCTGAAATTCTTAAGTGACTGAAAAATTTTCAAAGAGCTTCAAATTTGGGATAGGAGAAGTTTGTTTTGGCTGGGTGCGGTGGCTCACACCTGTAATCTCAGCACTTTGGGAGGTCAAGGCAGGTAGATCACTGGAAGCCAGGAGTTTGATACCAGCCTGGGCAACACAGTGAGAACCTGACTCTACTAAAAAGGCAAAAAAATTAGCCGGGTGTGGTGGTGCATGCCTGTAATCCCAGCTACTCCAGAGGCTGAGGCACGAGAATCTCTTCAACCTGGGAGATGGAGGTTGCAATGAGCTGAGATCACACCACTGCACTCCAGCCTGGGCAACAGAGCCAGACTCTATCTCCAAAAACAAACAACAAAAACAAAACAAAACAAGAAAAGGAAAAAAGAAAAAGTTTGTTATTATTAAGAGTCCTGGATAACAACTGCAGCATAACATAAGCTTTTAGGGCATTTCTAAGGTTTCTAGTGACAGTTGGCACATAAGAACTACTATTAAACGTTAAATGAAAAACAAGAAACTAGCTGGGCACAGTGACTCGTGACTGTAATCCCAAAACTTTTAGGAGGACGAGGTGGGCAGATCATGAGGTCAGGAGATCGAGACCATCCTGCCTAACATGGTGAAACCCCATCTCTACTAAAAATACAAAAAATTAGCCAGGTATGGTGGTACATGCCTGTAGTCCCAGCTACTCAGGAGGCTGAGGCAGGAGAATCGCTTAAACCCGGGAGGCAGAGGTTGTGGTGAGCTGAGATTGCACCACTGCACTCCAGCCTGGGCGACAGAGCAAGACTCTGTCGGGAAAAAAAAAAAAAAGAAAATAAAAATGAGGAAAAACTGCCCAAAATACCTTAAAAGGCTATGTTGTAAAAATGTGAACACACTTGTTCTATTAGAGAGATGTGTGACTGCAGAATCTTACCTGGAGACATGGAAGCAGAGTTGTATGGCCTGGGAGGGAAAGTAATCTGTGTACCAGGAATATAAGTGATTCTGTCCATGGGAGGAGTACTTGTTCCTCCTGGATGAGGCACTAAAATTGCTGGAGGCATATTGGTCAGGTCAATGATTCCTATCCAAAAGACAAATACAATTTATGTTAAGTGTTATTCTGTAGGTACAGAACCATACGTGACTTTTGGATTTTGTCTATCTCTATGAATCAAGGATAATTTAATATAAACAAAAATGTTTACTATCATCATTATTTTTTTAAGACATTCTTTAACTCTAGAAAAGGATGTTAAATACTCTACTCCACATCAGTAACCTCAAAGTATGGGCAGATTAAAGAGACAGAACAAACTTCTAAGACATCGATTACAAATACTCAGCACAAGGATTTGGTTTAATTTCAGTATTCATTAAAACACCTTGTTTCAATGTATGACTCTGGGCTAAAAAGTCTATGGGAAGAAGGATATAGAGTTCTTTTCTTTCTTTACATCATTCATTCAACAAGTTTTTTTTTTTTTTTTTGTTTTTT